CAGCATCACCCATCATCACCATCACACGCCATCATTATCATTACACACCATCACCATCAAACACCATCACCATCAGTCACCATCACTCACCATCACTCACCATCACACACCATAACCATCTGCATCATCATCACACACCATAACCATCTGCATCATCATCACACACCATCACTCACCATCACACATCACCATCTACATAACCATCCCACCCCATTACCATTACACACCATCAACATCACCACCATCACCATTACACACCATCACCATCACCACCATCAGTATTACACACCATCACCATCACCACCATCAGCATTACACACCATCACCATCTGCTTCACCATCACACAGCATCACCATCACACAGCATCACCATCACACACCATCACCATCACACACCATCACCATCAAACACCATCACCATCTTCATCACCATCACACAGCATCACCATCACACACCATCACCACCACATACCATCACCATCTGTACCACCATCACAGACCATTATTGTCACACACCATCACAATCTGCATCACCATTACCATCACGCAGAATCAACACCATCTGGATCACCACTACACACCATCATCATCAAACACCATAACCATCACACACAATCACCTTTTGCATCACCACCACACACCTTCACTCACCATTACACACCATCACAATTTACATCACCACCACACACCATCACCATCTGTATCACCATCAAAGCCCATTACTGTCACACACCATCACACATCATCACTGCATCATCATCACACATCATCATCATCTGCATCAACATCACACATCATCACACATCATCATCATCATCTGCATCAACATCACACACCATCACATATCATCATCATCTGCATCAACATCACACACCATCACATATCATCATCATCTGCATCAACATCACACACCATCACACATCATCATCATCTGCATCAACATCACACACCATCACACATCATCATCTGCATCAACATCACACATCATCACATATCATCATCATCTGCATCAACATCACACACCATCACACATCATCATCATCTGCATCAACATCACACACTATCACAGAACGCCTGTAAACACGCACTAATATATGCTCATGGTATTACTACCATCCTGTCTTGGGTTACGAGAGAGAGGAGAGGAGACACCACACAGGAATAACCCATTTACAACAACAACGAACCTCTCTCTCTCTCTCTCTCTCTCTCTCTCTCTCTCTCTCTCTCTCTCTCTCTCTCTCTTTTCTCTCTATTATATCTCTCCATGTCTTTTCTCTCACTCTTATTTCTCTTTATCTTTCTCTATGCATCTTTCTCTTTATCTTGCTACATCAAAACGGATGGATCACTCCTCTCTGTTTGTCTCTTTTATCTGTGTATGTATGTATGTATGTATGTATGTATGTACATCAAAGTGGCTATCTGTATCCGTTTCTTGCATTATTTTTCTCTCTTCTTCTCTCTCTATCTATTTATCTAACTATTTCTTCCAACATCAGAGAGAATGGCATACTCTGTCTTTCTTTGTCTCTTTTCTCTCCCTTTGTCTCTGTCTATCTATCTGTATGTCTCTCTCTATTTCTTTCTCTCTCTCTCCTTTTCTCTCTTTCTCGGTTCCTGATCACCTACACACTCTGTCTTTCCTTTTCTCTTTTTCTCTCTTGTTATCTGTCTCTCTGTCTCTGTCTCTCACCCTCCCCGATCTCCATACAGCGCCAGATACCTTGCCAATACCACATTCATACACACAAAAATGGGAAAAGTTAGATGATGCAATCACTCTTTGTCACAGTTCTGCTGCAGTATTACGTAACAACTGTATACACAACCACCTCCGTATTTATACAAACGAATCTTCATATCTCAGTGTTGATGTGTCGTATCTTGGGGTTGATGTGTCATATCTTGGGGTTGATGTGTCGTATCTTGGGGTTGATGTGTAGTATCTCGGGGTTGATGTGTCGTATCTGGGGGGTTGATGCGTCATATTTCGTAGTTGATGTGTCGTATCTCGGGATTGATGTGTTGTATCATGGAGTTTATGAGTGTTATCTCGGGGTTGATGCGTCATATTTCGGGGTTGATGAGTTATATATCTTGGTTGATGCGACATATATCGTAGTTGATGTTTCATATCTGGGGATTGATGGGTCATATCTCGGCGTTGATGCGTCATATATCGTAGTTGATGTGTGTTATCTTGGGGGTGATGCGTCATATATCGTAGTTGATGTGTGTTATCTTGGGGGTGATGCGTCATATATCGTAGTTGATGTGTGTTATCTTGGGGTTGATGCGTCATATCTGGGGGTTGATGCATCGTATCTCGCGGTTGATGCGCTTTATTTTGTGTTTGGTGAGTCGTACCTCAGGGTTGATGTGTCATATCTCGGGATTGATGCATCGTATCTCGAGGTTGATGCGTCGTATTTCGTGGTTGAAGCGTCACTTTACGAAGTTTGTTATAGAGGTTTACAAGAGCCCTCATAACGATCAGTATTAACCGAGATTGTCCCACTTACTGAGAAGTTGATGAGAGACATTACATAAACTATGAGAGGCTGAAGACTGTTGTGTTCAAGATGGGCGGTCCTCTCTCTCACCTCGGCAGTAAGAAGAATGGCTAACTATGATACGGGAGAACGAGGCGATTATTTTTTTCTCCTGATCGTTAGTAGAATTGTTATTGCGACGCACACACCACACACATACACAGCCCTGATGGCGCTCCCAGTTTGAGCAGCCAGGCCGCGTCTGTTTGCCCCCCCCTCCCCCTGCTATATCCCAACACCCTGCCAGCCTTACTACACCCGGATTTGTTCAGCAAAACATTTAAGTGATCAGTGAACGATTGACTACCAAACAGTGCTCCAAGAGTGCACTCCAAGGAAAAGCACAAAAACACAGCAGTGTAATACTGAGTGTTACAAGACTAGCGAGGTCATCCTAAAACTGTATCTTGCTCTTGTGAGACCACACCTGGATTACGCAGTTCAGCTCTGGTCACCGTATTACAGAATGGATATAGAATCCTTGGAAAGAAGTCAGAGGAGAATGACAAGACTAATCCCGGGCATTAGGAACCTTGAGTATAGAGACAGGTTAAAGCATCTTAATTTGCACTCCCTTGAGAGACGTAGAGCGAGGGGCGACCTGATAGAGGTGTATAAATGGAAGTCAGGGCTAAACAAAGGGGACATTACAAAGGTACTCAAATTATCCAACCAGGAGCGAACTCGTAACAATGGTTTTAAATTAGACAAATTTAGATTTAGGCGTGAAATAGGTAAACACTGGTTTGGAAACAGAGAAGTGGATGAATGGAACAAGTTACCAAATATCATCATTAACTCGAATACGCTGAATTGCTTCAAACATAGGTTGGATGCTCATATGAGCAATAGGGGTTGGGTGTAAACGGGACTGCTCAGTATGGGCCAATAGGCCCGCTGCAGTTTCCTCCATTCTTATAATGTATACAGCCTGAACAACATCAACCTAGAGAAGTCGACTTGTGAAAGAGACCTAGGGGTACTTGTAAGCCCGGACCTACGGCCTAGAAAACAGTGCGTTAATGTTCGAAATAAGGCAAACAGAGTATTGGGTTTTATATCTAGAAGTGTAAGTAACAAGAGTGCAGAGGTCGTATTGCAACTATATCTTGCGCTAGTTAGGCCGCACCTCGATTATGCGGTTCAGTTCTGGTGCCCCTATTATAGAATGGATATAAATTCACTAGAGTCGGTGCAGCGAAGAATGACAAAAATGATTCAGGGACTTAGAAACCTTCCATATCAGGATAGGTTAAAGAAACTTAACTTGCATTCCCTAGAAAGACGAAGAGTGCGGGGAGATATGATAGAAGTGTTTAAGTGGGTGAAAGGAATCAATAAAGGGGATATAGATAAAGTTCTTATAATATCCGAGCAGGATAGGACTCGGAGCAACGGATTCAAGTTGGATAAGTTTAGGTTTAGGAGGGAGATAGGAAGAAACTGGTTCACAAATAGGGTGGTGGACGAGTGGAACAAGCTTAGCAACTTTGTAGTCAGTGCGGGAACTCTGGAAAGTTTCAAAAGGAGGCTAGATAGATTCATGGATGATAGAGAGTGGTAGTAACTCTCGACAGGAGCTGCCATGCACAGGCCAACCGGCCTATTGCAGACTCCTTATTTTCTTATGTTCTTATGTTAACCTGACCTGACATCACGGCTTCACCCGACCTAACCTAAAGGATGGAGCACACCTGCACTGCCCCAAGCTACTGTCCTGGCCACGTGGCCACACACCTGCCCAACCGCATCCTGCCCACACGAGCACGAACTGATTGCTCTAAGAACAACCCAGTCCCAACCATTGTAAAAATTATCAACACCTAATTATTATATACCATATTTGTATCACTTATGTTACTTGTATTTAATTTGTAAATCAAGAGACCCATTCCCCAATTATGTAATTGTATATTTTCAGGCTTCCGGCTGCCATGCTCTTTCAATAAGCCGTTAATTATTTTTATTATTATTTTAATATTACACACACACACACACACACACACACACACACACACACACACACAGGAAGGAAAGGATGATGCCTTCTAACACGATATCGAAAACCTCTAAAAGCAATCATCTCAGCTGGTCGTTATCAAGTAGTGAGGAGCAAGAGAGAGAAGATCCGCTACACTAATTACACAATTAGGTAAATTAAGTTGGCTGTTTAGTGTCTGTCGATAACCAGGACGCGACGAAGAAGAGGCGCCGTCTTGAGGTGCCACAGCCACCAATACCCCTGACGAAACTTTCTCCCGAATCGCCAGAAGAATTATGAGGGAGATACTGAGAGAGATACGAAGGGAGATACTGAGGAAAATAGGATGAGATATAGAAGACTCTGGTTATTAGAACTTACGGCCACATTCCGGCCAGAACTAATACGAAAGACATAAAGGATGGATCATAGAAGGAATAGGAGGTCCTTTAAGAGGTCCTTACCAGAGGCGAGGGAGGAAAGAGAGGCCGCCGACATCTCATCCCCCTGGGCATTGTAGTGGCGCACGTCGTCAACATCCTGGTGTTGCTGGTCCACCTGCAGGAGAGACAAGGCTGTAGAGGTCAACATCCTGGTCCATCTGGTCCACCTGCAGGAGAGACAAGGCTGTAGAGGTCAACATTCTGGTCCATCTGGTCCACCTGCAGGAGAGACAAGGCTGTAGAGGTCAACATCCTGGTCCATCTGGTCCACCTGCAGGAGAGACAAGGCTGTAGAGGTCAACATTCTGGTCCATTTGCTCCACCTGCAGGAGAGACAAGGCTGTAGAGGTCAACATTCTGGTCCATCTGGTCCACCTGCAGGAGAGACAAGGCTGTAGAGGTCAACATTCTGGTCCATCTGGTCCACCTGCAGGAGAGACAAGGCTGTAGAGGTCAACATCCTGGTCCATCTGGTCCACCTGCAGGAGAGACAAGGCTGTAGAGGTCAACATTCTGGTCCATCTGCTCCACCTGCAGGAGAGACAAGGCTGTAGAGGTCAACATTCTGGTCCATCTGGTCCACCTGCAGGAGAGACAAGGCTGTAGAGGTCAACATTCTGGTCCATCTGGTCCACCTGCAGGAGAGACAAGGCTGTAGAGGTCAACATCCTGGTCCATCTGGTCCACCTGCAGGAGAGACAAGGCTGTAGAGGTCAACATTCTGGTCCATCTGGTCCACCTGCAGGAGAGACAAGGCTGTAGAGGTCAACATTCTGGTCCATCTGCTCCACCTACAGGAGAGGAAAGGCTGTAGAGGTCAACATTCTGGTCCATCTGGTCCACCTGCAGGAGAGACAAGGCTGTAGAGGTCAACATTCTGGTCCCTCTGCTCCACCTGCTCCACAAGATTATCCAGAGAGAGAGAGAGAGAGAGAGAGAGAGAGAGAGAGACTCTCTTACTGCACTACCAGAAGAGAGAGACAACCCCTTGCTTCACTGCTTAGAGAGAGAGAGAGTGTGTGTGTGTCTCTTACTACACCTGAAATAAACAAAAATATGAAATCCAGGTAATCACTGTTATTAGGTCTCATTTGCATAATTAAGTCGAGAGCTTCAACCACTACTAAGGTACAGTATTTGTAATGTCTGAAATAAGTAAGGGATACCTGGAGATTAGACCACAGCTTAAGATTAACCATTCTAAACTTAACCTAACATAACCTAACGTTAACCTATCTGTAACTGATTCACTGACTCACTCATTCAGTAATTGACTCCTTGGCTCACTTACTGACTGACTGACTGACTCCCTCACTCACTCACTCACTCACTCACTAATTGAATCATTGATATCACTGATTCACTGACTTACTGACCGATTTATTCATTAATTGACTCATTTAATCGCTGACTCACTGACTGGTTCATTCATTAATTGACTCATTGATTCACAGACTCACTAACTACAACTATCTCTGGTACTAACCTTGACAATATTCTCCTTGATAAAGTCACCAATACTAAGACCTTCGGGCATCTCGGCCAAGGGTGCTGTAAGCCTCTGACATGCGTCCTGTGCTACGTCTGGCAGAGCTCCCTCATTCTCGTCTGTGTGAGAGTGAGGGTGAACAAGTGAGGAGAGTAAGTGAGTGTGAACGAGAGAGTGAAGAAGGAAGTGTAGGTGAGTGAGGAAGCATGACTGAGAGCAAGAGTGAGAGTGAGACAGAGTGAAAGGAAGAGTGAAGGAAGTGTTCGGGAGAGAAGTGTGTGAGTGAGTGATTGAGAGGATGAGGGAAACTGAGGAAGGCAGTGTAGGCGAATGAGAGAGAATGAGTGAGAGTAAGAGTGGGTGTGAGAGAGAGTGAGTGAATAAGGAAGAGTGTAATAATAATAATAATAATAATAATAATAATAATAATAATAATAATAATAATAATAATAATAATAATAATAATAATAATAATAATAATAATAATAATAATAATAATAATAATAATAATAATACCTTGCATTTCTTATTCATATATTATAATGTAAGATTACATATTAAAGCACATGCCATATTATAAAATTAAGGCAGATAAGCCACTAAATTACTTGGGTCACAGGACCATTCTACATTATTGTCTGCATTCTGTTTAGTTGTTAAAAGCTGGTATTACTTCGAAGTCTTTGGATGCATGTTCACAATGTATTTATATGGAACTGTCATAGTCAACTGTCAGCAGAAGGTAGCAAAGGTTTGTCTACATGATTCTGGTCTGTTAACCAAAGCTGTTATTTCAGAACGTGAGTCTGATTAATGGGCCTCGGGATTGAAGCACTGCTGGAAGATGAGGAATATTCATTAGTGGCTGTGAAACTGTCTCTATTCTGTCTGTCTGTCTGCCTGTCTGTCTGTCTCACTCCTCTTTCTGTTTCATACACATCTGTTGAAGCCTAGTTTTCACCGCAACACTTCTCCTACCCACCATTTCCTCATCTACCCTCAGCTCCCCCTTCTTTCCCTCCCTTCTCCCTTCTAACATCCACCACCACTTCCTCACCTACTTTCACTTCCCTCTCCCCTCCCCACTTCCCATCTCCTATTTCTCCGTCCTACCCTCTCTTTTTACCTTCTTCCCTCTCTCATTCCTTCCTCTCCCCTCCTTCCCCCCGTCACTAGTCTCCCCTCCTTCCCCCCGTCACTCTCCTCCCCCTCATATATGCCACATTAAAACACAACTTCTCAAAACAACATTGGAAATCGTTGAGGTCATTTCGCGAAAGATATTTTTTTCTCCGGTGTCATGGTGAAGTTTAGAAGATTCCTTGCAAGACGCTGGTCATGATCACCAGCGAGTTGTGAGGTGTTGAGTTTTTCTTGCCTCGTAGTGTGTGTGTGTGTGTGTGTGTGTGTGTGTGTGTGTGTGTATGTGTGTGTGTGTGTGTGTGTGTGTGAGAGTGTGAGTGTGTGTGTGTGTGTGTGTGTGTGTATGTGTGTGTGTGTGTGTGTATGTGTCTGTGTGTGTGTGTGTGTGTGTGTGTGTGTGTGTGTGTATGTGTGTGTGGTATACGTGTGTGTGTGTATATGTGTGTGTGTGTGTGTGTGTGTGTGTGTGTGTGTGTGTGTGTGGTGTGTGTGTGTGTGTGTATATATATGTGTGTGTGTGTGTTGGTATATGTGTGTGTGTGTATGTGTGTGTGTGTGTGTGTGTGTGTGTGTGTGTGTGTGTGTGTGTGTGTGTGTGTGTGTGTGTATGTGTATATGTGTGTGTGTGTGTGTGTGTGTGTGTGTGTGTGTGTGTGTGTGGGTATGTGCAGCATTATAACACTAAATAATTCCGAAAATTATACTACAATAATCCCAACATTATGCCATAATAATTCCCAACATTATTACACTAATAATTCCTTACATAAAATAAATACTTTCCAACATCACACTGGTATAATTTCAATATAGTTACTTTAATAAAATACCAAGATAAAAACGAAGAGTTGTTTTAATTAAGAGCCATTAGGCTCCAGTAATAATCCAATTAATAATTAGGTTTGAGCGACTAAGGATTATTAATTATCAAAGCTCTCGTTTATGTAAAATCTTTCTGTATAAATTATATTTGTAGGAATATTTTACGCAAGGGGTAAAGACCACGCGGTGATGACGTGGAAAATATTTACTTTCTTGTCTTATTTGTGTCATTTTGTTTCGTTTATCTTTTGTTTTTGTGCCGAGGAAGGGGTAGGAGGGTGTTGGGGAGGGGGAGGTTAGGGAGGGTATGGGAAGGAGGAGTGTGGGGATAGGAGGAGAGAGGTGGAGGAGAAGGATATAAGGTATGGGTCAGAAGGATAGGGAGGGGAGGGGTGAAGAGGGCAAGGATGGGGAAAATAAGGGGAAGTAGGGGCGGAATAGAGAAGGTGGTGAGAAGAAGAAGAGCTGAGAGGGGTTGAAAAGAGGGGAAAGGGGATTCAAAGGGATAAGGGAAGGTGAAGGAGAGGAGGGAGGGCTATGAAAGGAAGGGAGGAGAGAAGAGGAAGGTTGACAGGGATGTTGGGAGATGGGTGGGATATGAGAGAGGGGGAGAAGGGAGAGAGACAGGTGATGGGAAGAAAGAAGTTGGATGAGGAAAATTATATATCTTATTTACAATTTACAGCCTGTGTATATGTAATTAACTAGTTTACAACTTCCAACAAATAGTAGCGTCATACTACAATTAACCAACAACACACAGTAAACAACCTATAATAACTTACCTCCAACGAGATAACCGTCAGGAGTAACTTGTAGGAACTTGAGGTCGAAGTGGGTGACGTCTTTCTCGCCAAAACCCTCCACGTCTGTTCCTCCCATCGTCTCCTTCACCAGTTCCCGGTCAAGGTCTGGGTACGAGATGGACTTCCTGCCTCGACGGGCCAGACACAGGATCACTATGACCAGTACTGAGGGATGAGGGAGATTACCTGAACATTAGACCCTCCAGTTGATGAGTAACCTAACCTAACCTAACCTTACTTAACTTAACTTTACCTAACCTAACCTAACCTAACGTAACTTAATCTAACCAAACCTAATCTAAATTAACATAATTTTCTTAACTTAAACTAACCTAACGTAATGTACCCCCTCCCCCTCCCCAGATAGCACAAGACTTTCTTTGGCTTCTGGTCAACATTATAATTATGATTCTTATTCAGGCTTTAATTGTGCATAATTTTCCTAAGTTAGCTTCCAGAGTAAAGACAAATCATTATCCTTCCAGATCATGAAGCTAATTACAAATATCTATAAAGGTTGTCAGTTTACATTTTAGTCATTATAAAACCTTCCTTAAACTACTTTCGTCACCAAAGAAGAAGACTAACGTAGGAGACACAGGAGGCTGGCGAGGATGATGATGATGGACTGCTGACCAAGTACGACTCGGGAGGTCCTAGGAGCGTCGCACGGCTGAAAGGTCTGCTTGCTGAAGTCTGTGGCATTTAGGTCGTAGATATAGTCGTTGTGACGCACCTCGAGGACGCAGCCGCTGAAGGGGTATATAGCTGGAGGTACCATAGTCCAGCCGTAGGAAGTCGCTAACTGTGGGAAGCTCACCATGGCTGCCACGCCCCCGATCTGTAAGGGTCCCTGGACGTTGAGTAAGTGACTGGGTGTGCCGGAGAGCCTCGCTAGGGGCACGGTCTTCTTGCAAGGATCTACCGTGTCCATCGTGGCGTTGATACCACAGTTAATGATCTCAACAGTGATGCTGCCTTCGTTCCAAGAGATGGTGTACTCGAAAGCTTGGTCGGTGCAAGGTTCTATTGGTATGGAGATGTTGAGAGTTCCTGTCCCCAAGTCTAGGAACGTCTCCACCACCCAACCTTGGAGGACGACGTAGAGAAAGTCTCGAGGGTAGAGTGGCCAGGGAGACAACACCGTCGGTCCAGTGTACAAGAGGACGCCACTCTCGTCGTTGGTCTCAAAGATGACAGAGAGGAACGAGTGCTCGCACACCGTCAGAGGCTCATACCAGGCGAACCCTCTCTCGAACCTCGCCGTCAAAAGCTCACACCGTGGACCGTAGTTACTACCGTCCAGACAACTACAAGTGAGCGTGTTGTTCTTCACTGAACATGTTCCTCCGTTGTAGCAGAACCCGGAGAAGCACACAGAGGGCAGAGGCTCCAGGGCTCCACAGTCGCAGGCGTAGTCGTCGTCGATGTCGACCCCGACGACCGTGGCCGTGTCGCTGGAGATGACGAGGGGCGACGTCAGGTTGGGACGCATAGTGTGTTGACAGCTCTTTGTGCCACAAGGGGAGGTGACCTCATATAGGCACAGGTTGATATCCACGAGGGGGATGTCCACGCCCAGGGCCTCCGAGACCTGTGAGGGAGACACACACGACTGGCGATTTTAGATGTGAAAGTAAACTCGTATCAGAGGTTACAAATGTGGATAAAGAAAGGTCATTAACTTTCTATCCCACATATTTCTTTTTATGGTTACCCCTCGTGTATGAGAATGGCCGGCCCTAGGGCCACCTAAACGTGAATTTGTTTAAGGTGTAGAAAAAGTCGCCAACACGATGACCACACTCTAAGTTAAAGAGTTGCATGACACAGTGTCAAAGAATTATACAACAAGACCGGACAACTGGCCAACTGCACTGACTAACCATTATCCCGAAATATGATCCGCAAATTGATTACCATACAGGTTCCTAAATACTGCTTAGCAGACACAAGCAAATGGCTTCAAGAAACTTACCCACAGTTTCACCCTGCCCGGGAATCAAACCCGAAATCACTCACTTACAAGACCAGCATGCTGCCCATTACAAAAGAGGTAGCCACACACACACATACACACACACACACACACACACACACACACAAACACACACACACACACACACACACACACACACACACACACACACACACACACACACACACACTACTACTACTACTACGTGGCCTCCAGCCTCCCCCAATAGCCACACCTTCGCCACCATTTATTTACCTTAATATTAAATATCCTAATACATAAGAAGCTATCCTATCTGTGTTAAATTAGTTGAGCCGCAGATCTATGCGGCATTCAGTGACTGTAGCCTCATAGTCAATATCTGCAGCAGTTGTCGGAGTAGGGGCAGAAGCTCTCGTTCCCCTGAGGCAGAGCAAAGCCGACCGAAGGAGAGAGAAGGACAGTCGACATCTCATCCAGGCTGTAACATAACTTCTGGGCTGCTGCTTCTGTTCGGAGATCAGCTCCGCGAGTCTGGCGTAGAAACATCTTGCACTTGGGCCCACATCCCACCAGAGGTTGTGAACACTAGAGGAGTGAAGCTGCCTTGATCAACGTTTTGAATTCTCTCCCCATATGCCCTTCTCTTGTCGTTCTCGTTCCTCCTATGTGCAGCATCGAGAGCTAGGTTACGGTGACATCTGGCGTAGAAACATCTTGCACTAGGGCCTTCCCACCAGAGGTTGTGAACACTCGAGGAGTGAAGCTGCCTTGATCAACGTTTTGAATTCTCTCCCCATATGCCCTTCTCTTGTCGTTCTCGTTCCTCCTATGTGCAGCATCGAGAGCTAGGTTACGGTGACAAGCGGCCATGGGATAAAAAATCCTTGATGTCGAAGAAAGCTCGCTTGTCCCTCAGCCCAGAATCCTCGAGCACTGACGTCCACACGGGCTTCGCGATGTGTTTGAAGTCCTGTGTTGGAAGATTCACATCCAATGGAAGGAGGGTCGGTTCTACCATGACGTCCCGGCAGATTTCCTTCCAACATATTTGCTGTGAGATCCCTACCTCGTCATGCCTCATGCATATGGAAGCCCCCTTCTGCAGACCATGGCGTGATCGCCATCATAGAAGAGCCACACACGCATTGGGAGGGCAAACCATCTACTGGCCAACCGTACCTTAGAGCAATGGCATCTGTAAATTCTTGTTTGTTAAGGCTGAAACCATTTGCCCTTATCGGTAACGTAGTTAACCAGTTCGAGGCGCCCACCTCCTGCGCTATAGCTACTTTTTTTGTCCAATTTTCTGGAACCTGCAGCAATAGTTGCTGCAACATGTCATTTTGGCAGTGCTGCCGATCTTTTGTAATGGACCTACGGATCTTATTTACTTGGCTGGTGTCCACTTCCCCTGTTGCATTCTGGGCTATTATGTGGTCAGTGAGGGCTGCCGTGAGCTTTAGTGAATTTTGGTGTTCAGTGTCAGCAATCTCCTCTGGATTAGTTAGTCCCATCCCTCCCAGTCTTGGTGGAAGTGCAAGAAGTGTTCTTTCTACTGGGGTTAAGTCAGGGTGTTTCGCTAGTTTGGGAATGAACTTGACACTGATAGCTTCTTCCAGAGGGTGGAGGAGGGGTCCGATCTCAGGGATGGTACGCATCAGGTAGTTCCAGCGATGCTTGACTCCATGGGTGAATGCTGCAAAGGCCGCATGTGGCTCTGTGTTAGCAATCTCAGACAGAGCTTGGATTTCGCTAACCCACTCATTCACCTTTCCAGCTACGTACTCGGTCTTGAAGTCCGTAGTGCCAATTACTGCGCCTAGATGTCTTTGGCTCTCCTTAGTTATTTTGACCTCACTTCGGCCAAAAACCTCCAATGCCCGTTCATAATGTTCTGGCTTCACGATGAGGAAGGACTTGCTGGCGTTTGGGTGGTACCCTATTTTTGGACCTCGCGATGTTACCAGGTCCCACCACTTTTTGATGCACTCCACTTTTCCTGCTCCTGTAAGGTCATCAGCATATGCCACTTGTTTGACCCCAGTTGTTTCAAATTTTATTTCTTGTTGGAGCACTGCTACTACTACTACGACTACGACTACTACTACTTTGCTGTAAATCGGAATCGAGTATGATGATCATCCAACTATGATAATATGATATGAGTTATTAATGATGTCACCTTCGTTAATGAGCTCTGCGGTGACTAGAGAGACCGATGAGGGACCGGCAGGGTCGTACACAGATGTTGCAAGTGTGAAGGGCTACGTCCAGTGTGGGAGGGGCGAGCGGCAGCGCCTTTCCGGCGTTGGAGCTTGCCTGTCTCTGTATGCAGTTGGACGAACTCAAAAGTATTGACACCTTCTCGTGTTGTGCTCCTCCAAGCGTTATGGTGTGGAGTAGTCGTCTCCCAGGTGAGAGTCGATTTGGTACTTAAAAATATTCTTATACCTTTTCAGTTGCCCGCCAGCCTTACGTTTACTATTTGCTAGGTGACTGTAAAGTAGCTACTTTGGCAGTCTACTGTCGGCCATGCAGGTAACATGGCCAGTCCAACATAGTGTTCATGGAAAATGGTAGCCTCGATTCTCCTACAATTGGTGTCAGCAAGAATACTGGCATTTGTTCTCTTGTCTTCCCAGCAAACTCGGAGGATGGAATGTACACTACGTTGGTGAAAGTTGGTGAAAGTTTTCGAGGCCCTTTAGGTTCTTCCTGGATGTGACCCATGTCTCGCTGCCGTATAACAGAGTGGGGAGGACTACTGTTCGATATACGTGCAGCATTGTAGATAATTTTAGCTCCCTACAGCTGAAGACACGGGTATGGAGTCTGCCAAAGGCTTGAAATGCACATCTGATCCGATGTTGGATCTCTTCATCGACATCTGTGGTGGTGGGCAGGTGGGAGCCGAGATACCGAAAGTAGGTAACATTGGAGAGGGTAGTACCGTTAAGCTGGATGGATGGTGGAGGTGTGGCTGAACCAGGGGCAGGCTGAAAGAGAATCTGAGTCTTACGTACATTCACCTCAAGGCCGAAGTCGGCATACGCATCTGCATAGGTGTTCAGGATCTCCTGTAGGTCACATTCAGTGTGAGCGACAAGGGTTAGGTCGTCTGCATACTGAAGTTCAATAATGGAAACTGCTGACACCTTTATTCCTGCCTGGAGTCATCTAATGTTGAAAAAATCCTTCATCCGTTACTCAATGTCCACCCCGCCGGCTAAATGGCACTGGCACGAGTAAGGAAGGCAACCAAGAAAATGGAAAAGAGAGTTGGTGCCAGAACACATCTTTGTTTTCCCCCCCGTTTAAATTTGGAAGAATTCAGACTGGGTGCCGTTGTGCAGGACACTGCCGTTCATGCCATCGTGGAATAGCCTCACAATGGCGATGAATTTTGGTGGACAGCCAAAATAGCTCCCTGATAACCGAGTCGAAGGCCATGTACAAGTTACGACACTATTCTCTGCACATGTCAAGCATCTGGTGGGCATAAACGATCATGTCAGTGGTGGCAAGTGATGTTCTATAGCCACCTTGAGATTCTGGGAGGAAGTTTTCCGCCCCAGAAAAAAAGTCTGTTTAGGAAGACTCTGGCGATAATCTTGGCAGCCATGGACAACAGCGAGATCCCGCGATAGTTTCCACAGTCTTACCGGTCTCCCTTGTTCTTATAAATATGGATTATGGAGGCGTCTTTAAGAAAATGGGGGATTCCTCCTTTTCCCATATATTCTCCAGGATAAAGTGGAGGCTGCTGGTAAGCAGAGGTCCTCCTGCTTTATACACCTCGGCTGGGATTCCATCAGGCCCTGAGGCTTTGTTATTCTTCATCTATTTGATGGCAGTAGTTACCTCATCCAGGGATAGAGGATAGCTGAGCTGGGTCAGCTCTAGATGCTAAGGGACCTGCTGGGTAGTTAGGACATGCACATCGGTGTTTCGGTTAAGCAGCAAATGGTAGTGCTCTTTCCAGCGCTGAAGGATGCCTTCTTAGTCTTTAATTAAGTAGTTACCATCGGAAGGGTGAAGGAAGGTTGCACCATAAGTAATTGGTCCATAAAAATTTTAGTGGAGTTGAAAAGTACGCGCATATTATGTTAATCTGCAAGTTTTTGCATTTCACATGCTTTATTTTTAAACCAGTCTCTCTTTAGCGTTCGAAGTTCATGCTGGTCCGCTGCTTTTTTCTTGCAGAAGGTATCAGTTTTGGTCAGAGACTGATGGTTGTTCTGCCAATCAATTAAAGCAGCACGTTTATCATCGACGAGTACATTGATTTCCGGGTCATTTTCATCACACCAGTCCTGGTGTATTCTTTCGATCTGGCCGAGGGTCTCTCTCTGCTGGTTTTTGTCATGACAGTGTCGAGAATACCCTTATTCAGCACTGGGATTTAGCTTGTTTGTTGTCGGTTTGTTTATCAGCCCATGTTTGAGCTGCTCTCTGAAAGCATGCGCTGCTACTGGATCCTCCTGACACTTAGTGTTAAAACCTCTTCTGGAGGCTTGTTGCCTTCGCCGTTTTGGGGCGACGTGAAGTTAGAGCTTGGCTCTGACGATCCGATGATCAGTGTCATAGTGGTCTGAGCCACGTATGGGTAGGGTGATGAGGACATCTCAATGATCTCTTTTCTGACAATGATGTAGTCAATGGGATGCCAGTGTTTGGATCGTGGGTGGGATGTTGATGATAGTAAGGTTATGTGCAGCACACTTGCTTAGGAGGAGTAGGCCATTGGGATTACACTTGCCTAGTCTATTTCTCCCTATGATTCCCTGCCAAATGTCAGCATCTCTGTGAACTCTGGTATTGGAGTCACGCTTAGGTGGCCATAGGGCCGGCCATCCTCGTACACGAGGGGTAACCATAAAAAGGAATATGTGGGATACAAATTTAATGACCTTATCTTCTCTGGTGATATAGGTTTGCACTCTGTCAAGGTCAGCGTAAAAGGCCTCCTTGATGCCATCCTCTGCATCCAGTGTTGAGGCATAGGCACTGATGAAGAAGGCATAACGTGAGTGATTCATTGGGATTCAGAGCGTCATGAGGCGTTCGTTGATCCCAACAGGCATTTTAGTTAGCCTTTGTAGGATGCATTGGCGGATGGCAAAGCTAACTCGATAAATGTGTTCTCTCTCCAAGCACGCTTACCCTTCCAGAAGAAGGTATTGCGAGACCTTCGTTCTGTGAGTCAACCCTCTTCTGGGAGCCGGGAGTCACTAATGGCTGCAATGTCGATGTTATACCTAGCCAGTTCTTTGGCCACAAGGGTGGTTCTTCTTTCAAGATTTTCATTTGTGCCAGTATTCCGAAGGGTCCTTGTTAAGGGTTTAGATGTTAACGTCCTCTGGTACTTTTAAAGATTACTGTCAGGTGTAATACTGCCGCTTTCACCAAGTATATTGAACAAGATTATGGATATTTGTAACAAAAGATGTCTATTTACAAGTATTTACACTGATAATCGGCATGAAGACAGTACAGAGAAACATAAACATATGTGGTATGGAAGTGCCGGACTGCTGGTCGGAACAAATATCGCAAGTGTAGATACTGGATGTCAAACGTGGGGTCTGGTATATACACACGACACAGGTGGTAAATTGGCGTCCTCTTAACAACTTCACAGGAGAACAAGTATCCTCCTAACCGGCACAGGTACTTGGTAATGGACCCGGGAGGAAAAGCGTAGAGGCTAGGGCTGACAGTGCCCTAGGTGGCTTGCTGGCATACAAGGCTAGGAGTTCAGCAGTTCACACCAAGGTGACCACAAATAAAAAGCTGTAACAATACAGTCCATTTAGAGTAGTATCTAATTATTTTAGTAGTAACTGTCAACATGCTTTTATATTTGCACAGTTCATACTCACTAAGTTGAACATACATAGTCATTAACAAACATTACACAAGTCACCCTTAAAAGACAAACAACACCATAGGAACCATAAACCAAAAACGATAACAAATAATATGGAATACTCACAGGTAGCAGATGATCAACTGGGTCAGAGGAAGGGAGCCAAGTGAACCACCATACAGTTACACCCAGCACTGACTCAGTTAGAACTGCCCATGAACAACACCTTGTTTAGATGCAGAGAACAAACCCAACACTGAACAACACAGTTCCAACAATCATTGGACTGGAATACAAACCCCTTACAGTCCTGACATTCCATGCAGCCACTATAAGAGGTTGTATAGTTTGTTTTTGTTTTGATTTGTGATTATGATTGTGTTTTCGACCACATAAGGATGACCTTACTGAGTGCAGTTGCCCAGTCACGTTAGTTCTTTAGGCAGACTGTGTTTGGGGACAGAGGGGTAACTCACCTGCCTCCTCCTCCTCAACATAACACCGTCGAGGCGCGCCGCCGTATAGTATGGTGACCCGTGGCAGTTGTAGCGCACGTCCACGCCTACGCCTTCCACGTCCTTCAACGCGAACACGTCCACTTGCGCCTCCGGGATGCCATGGATCCTCGCTATCTGCTTCTTGAGGCGCTCGTACAAGCTAGTCCCCAAGGCACTAGGCTGGTGTGAGAGAGGAGAAGGGGTTGAAAGAGAGAGAGAGGTGGAATAGAGAAAGATAGATACAGATAAATACAGACAAACAGATCAAAAACAAAATTTTCTTGAAGGTTCAACTAATAATTAATTATAATAATTATTATAATAATTAATAATAATAATAATAATAATAATAATAATAATAATAATAATAATAATAATAATAATAATAATAATAATAATAATAATAATAATAATAATAATAATAATAATAATAATAGTAATAATAATATACTTATTATAAAAATAAAATTAAAAATAGAAATAATAATAATAATAATAATCATAATCATAATCATAATAATAATAATAATAATAATAATAATAATAATAATAATAATAATAATAATAATAATAATAATAATAATAATAATAATAATAATAATAATAATAATAATAATAATAACAAAAATAAGAAAAATAATAATAATAATAATAATAATAATAATAATAATAATAATAATAATAATAACAATAATAATAATAATAATAATAATAATAATAATAATAATAATAATGTAATTATATTAATAATAATAATAACAATAATAATAATAATAATATTAATATTAATAATAATATTACTAATAATAATAATAATAATATTTTCCTCTTCTTTCCTGCCCTCCCCCTCCTACCTATTGTTTCCTCCCTCCCTAGTTCTGCCTCATTCTCTCCTTCCTTCCATCCCTCCCTCACCCCCTCCACTCCCCTAATCACTCTCACCTGGCGCTGTAGCAACATGGTGTGGGAGGTAGTGTTAGCCAGCCTCAGGGAGCCAGACTGCATCACCGCTGACAGTGTCAAGTCCACTACGCTGATGGTTGTCTGTCCAATGGCCATCTCTCGCCGGAAGTTGTCGTGTACCTGAGGGTCAAATGAGGTCATGGACGGTCACCAGGTGGCTGATGTGAGGTTATAGTGGCTGATATAAAGTCATAAATGTCAGTAGGGGGCTGATGTAAGGTTAAAGAGGTCAGAAGGGGCTGATGTGACATTACAGAGGTTAGGTTAGTTTACGTTTGGTTACTTGCGAACATAAGAAAGGAGGAAATTGCAGTGGGCCTATTGACCCATACTAGGCAGCCCCGTTTACACCCAACCCCTATTGCTCATATACCCTTCCAACCTGTATTTGAAGCTATCCAGCATGTTCGAGTTAATGATGATGTTTGGTACATTGTTCCACTCGTCCACTACTCTATTTCAAAATCAGTGTTTACGTATCTGGGGATTAAATCTAAATTTGTCTAATTTAAAACCATTGCACAGAGTTCGCTCCTTGATGGATAGTTTGAGTTCCTTTCTCATATCACCTTTGTTTAACCCTGACTTCCATTTATACACTTCGATCATAATTTTAGTGAGGTGAGCTTCGCTTGTGCACTTGCTATATTAGACCTCAAGATATCACCCTAGGAGGTGACAAGGCCAATGTTAACACATCTATATCAGTATAGGCTGCAACTACCTTGAAGAAAACTGTAAACTTAAGAGAAAGGGTACTTGTGCAGAAGAGCTCCTTACTGCCTGCGCCGTCCACGGTGTACCTGAGTCAAATTCAGGTGGTCATTCTTTCTGGCCTCCCTGCTGTAGGCAGACGTTTCCAGATTCTTCTCCTGCTTCAGCTTCTTCTTCGCATTATGGTCTGTGTCTGTTGTTCTTCATACCATCTGTGCATTTTTAGTCAGCAGTTTGCTAGGATGATTTATTTAGGAGGAGGGAATGTTGTTTTGCTGCTTCGAGTTGTTTAGACTTGTGCCGGTGCCCTCCTGGTTTCGGCCATTTTAATTTTTTTTTGCTTTTCCCTGTTTACTTGCTTAATGCCCGGAGTTTTAAACACTCTTCCATTGAAGAGGGTCATTGTATTTCAACCCAAGTTTAAAAAAGAAATGAATCCTGGAGGACACCACAGTACAGTACTTGACGGGTGGTGTGGCAGTAAACTTAACTATTTCCAATATTATCAATTAATTTTATTGGAATTAGTTCATTTTACAGCTACTCCACCCCATCAAGGACTGTACTGAGGTTTCCTTTGAGACTCATTTTTTTTTAGACTCCGGTTGAAACACGACTACCCTCTTCAATGGAAGAGGGTGTTTAAATTCCGGGTGTTAGCCCCGTTCCCCCCCCCCCCCTTTTGCTTCTTGTGTCGTGCTTACTCCAAGGGCGTCGCTTCATTGTTTGTGTTTCCCCACATTTTCCACCCTCTGTTTGTGTTTTCTCTCGTCCAGGCCCACGCACCGAGAAGTTACTTGGTTTCGTTGTCTGGCTCGGGTTTTGATGGCAGAGAGAGACATATGTAGTCCCTTCGTCTTCCTTACTCCATTGTTTTATTTCTCCTGTTTGTTTTTTCATCCCCAGCTCCAGAAGTGTCCTGCTCAGCCCCAAGGTGTTCGGCCAGGTTCCAACAGGATGACCACTCCTCCTGTTCAGCCCACTCCCAGAGCGTGGACGACGACAAGTTTGACCCGAGTCGCTGAGTGGTGTGCTCTGAGTGGGTGGCAGGGCTTCTCCGCAATGCAGACGGAGATGTGGACACCTCTCACATTTTGTGGCAGCAGCTTCGGACCCCAGGCCGAGCTCCCCTCCTCCAACTTCCCAGTCGGCCACCAGGGAGCCCACCTCTCCCTGCCCTTGGGCTTCGGGCTCTACACAGCTCTCCTCCTTGCCCTTCCGGGAGTCGAGTACTCATCCTCCTCCAGTCGCCACCGTCACCGCTCCGGGAGTCCCGCTAGTCCTTCTACAACAGGCACCACCGCCCCAGGTCGCCTAGGACAGCGGCCAAAAGGAAGCGGGCTCGCTAGGAGGAAATGCCAGTCCTCGAACCCCCACTACTCTGCCAGAGCCCCAGCTGGGTTGTCCCAGAGTGTCCTTGGAGAAGGTAACCCCCCCCCTCCCTACGGGCCAGGAGACCCTCCACGGCGCCTTGCCGCAGGAGATGTTGGAGGCTCTGTCTTCCTGGTTCCTGGCGCAACAGCTGCAGCAGGCCCAGGCCACCTCCAACCAACCTCCTGTGGTTTAGGGATCCCGCCCTCGCTCCCCCTCCCCGGACCCTTCAGTGTTCTCGGAGTCTGGTTCCGAGTCAAGGGAGATTGACAAGACTAATCCCAGGCATTAGGAACCTTGAGTACAGAGACAGATTAAAGCATCTTAATTTGCACTCCCTCGAGAGATGTAGAGTGAGGAGCGATATCATCGAGGTGTATAAATGGAAGTCACGGCTAAACAATGGTGATATAGATAAGGTACTCAAACTGTCCAACCAGGAGCGAACTCGTAGCAATGGTTTTAAATTAGACAAATTTAGATTTAGGGGCGAAATAGGTATACAGTTGTTTGGAAATAGAATAGCGGATGAGTGGAACAAGTTACCAAACATCATCATTAACTCGAATACGCTGGATAGCTACAAACATAGGTTGGATGGATATATGAGCGATAGGGGTTCGGGGTAAACGGTACTGCTTAATATGGGCCAATAGGTCTGCTGCAATTTCCTTCATTCTTGTGTTCTTATGTTCTTATGTACCTTAAACGCCTGTTATCTCATCTATACACAACCTCAAACACCTTTTATCTCATCTTATACAACCTCAAACACCTGTCATCTCTCTTCAAACACCTACCTTGACCCTCAGCACATGTGTTCCGGCAGGTGTTCCTTTAAGCATGGTGATGTTGCCGGTGTAGAGGTCGACCTTGAAGTGAGAGGCGACTTCGGGTGAGGTACTGGCGTCAACCTCGAAGGTCTTGTCTTGACGGTCGTGGTCGTCATCATCTGTTACGTACACAGCCCCGACAACCATGGCGGGAAACTGGCCCTGGGGGAGAGTGAGGGAGAGTGGGTGGTGAGTGAGGGAGAGTGAATGGGTAGAGCGAGGGAGAGTGGGGGGTGAAAATGAGGGAGAGTGAAAGACAAGAGTTAGTGAGAGTGAATGGTGAGAGTGAGGGAGAGTGTATGGGGAGAGTGGGTAGTGAGAGTGGGGGAGAGTGGGTGGTGAGAGTGAGGGAGAGTGTATGGGGAGAGTGGGTGGTGTGAGGAGAGTGTATGGGGAGAGTGGGTGGTGAGTGAGGGAGTGTATGGGAGAGGGTGGTGAGAGTGGGGGAGAGTGGGGGAGAGTGGGTGGTGAGTGGGGAGAGTGGGGAGAGAGTGGGTGAGGTGGGGAGAGTGGGTGGTGAGTGAGGAGGTGTATGGGGGAGAGTGGGTGGTGAGAGTGGGGGAGAGTGGTGGGTGGTGAGAGTGGGTGGTGAGTGGGGAGAGTGGGAGGTGGGTGGTGAGAGTGGGGAGGTGGGTGGTGAGTGGGGGGTGTGTGGGGAGAGAGGGGGAGAGTGGGTGAGTGAGGTGGGTTGAGTGAGGAGAGTGGGTGTTGGGAGGAGGGACAGTGAATGGTGAGAGTGAGGAAGAGTGGATGGGGTGGGGATGAAGGACGTGGGTGGTGTGAGTGAGGGAGAGTGAATGGGATGGTGAAGGAGAGTAGGTGATGAGAGAGAGAGAGAGAGAGAGAGAGAGAGAGAGAGAGAGAGAGAGAGAGTAGAAGATAAGCCACACTTTATTATCACTGAGAGATTAAGATATTTTTGGATGAGAAATATTACTGCCCTCTCTTTTACACCTCTGACTTCCTCCTTCTCTTTCTCACCTTTCTTTCGTCTCTCACTCTGCTATATTACCCATTCTTTCTCGTCTATCTCTTATCTTTCACTTACCTATCCCACCTCTCACTCTCATTCATATTTCACTCCCCCTCTCTTTATCCACCTCTCTCTTCGTTTTACTCATTTATCCTTCTTCTCTTCCTCCCTTTCATTCCCCTCTCACCTACCTCTCACTTCCCTCTCACTCACCTCACATTCCCCTCTCACTCACAACTAACACTCCCCTCTCACACCCCCTCTCACTTCTCCTCTTATACCCATCCTTATACCCTCTCACTCCCACCACTCATTTCCCTTTCGCTCACTTCTCTCACTCAACTCTCACTCAACTCTCACTCCCCTCTTACACCCACCTCTCGCTCCCCTCTTTCACTCCCCTCACTCTCTCTCACCTGCCTATCACTCCCCTCTCACTCACCTGGTAGTTGTACACCTTAATAGTGTTGGCGCCGTCAGTCATTGGGGAATCATTCTCGTCACCAACTTCTATAGTCAAGTACCGGGTACCTGCCAGTCCTCTGCTGTCCCGGGCCGTGAAGGGTAACCGGTACACCTTCTGCTGTTCCCGGTCCAGTACCGTAATGGGCCTCAACCTGTACCGAGACCTGTACCGGGAGATGGGACATGGGATTAAGTTAGATTTGTTGATAGATTGAAAGTATTGGTTAAAAATTTGTGTATCAAGAAGATTTTTTCAAGTGGTCTCGAGACAATTTTCCTCCACTCGGTCCAGAACTTTCGTGGGCCTCAGCCTGAACCGGTACACTTTCTTCTGCCGGTCCAGTGTGTTTATGGGATTGAACCGGTACCGGGACTAACTGGGAATATGGTTACAAGATCTTTAAATACCTAACCTAACTTAACCTAACCTAACCTAAGCTGCATTAAACAGAACAAATTATATAAACAATATTATATACCAATATGAATGACAAAATAAATATATAATAAATACATACTGACCCAAACACACACACACACACACACACACACACACACACACACACACACACACACACACACTACTAATACTACTACTACTAATTTGTTGTCACTCGGAATCAAGTATGACAATCATCCAGCTCTGATATAATTATATTAATTAGTAAGGGTGTAACCTAGGCTCCTAAGTTCTGAAGTGACTAAAGAGGCCGATACGGGACTGGCAGGGTCGTTGAAAGAAGTTGCATATGTGGAGGGCTACAACTAGTGCGGGAGGGGCGGTGACACCGTCTTTCCGACGTTGGGGCTTGTCTGCCTTGTTTGCAGTCGAGCTAACTTCTTGTGTGGTACTCCTCCAAGCTTTACGGTGTGGAGTAATCGTCTCCCATGTGAGGGGGTTGATTTGGCACTTCTTCAGTTGCCCGCCAGCATTACGTTTACTATTCGTTAGGTGACTGTAAAGTAGCTGCTTTGGCAGTCTACTGTCGTCCATGCGGATAATATGGCCAGACCAGCGTTGTTGTTCATAGATAATGGTAGCCTTGATGTTTATACAGTTGGTGTCAGCAAGAATACTGACATTTGTTCTCTTGTCTTCCCAGCGAATCGGAGGATGGAACGTAGACAAAGTTAGTGAAAGTTTTCAAGTGCCTTGATGTGCCTCCTGTATGTGACCCATGTCTTGCAGGCATATAGCAGGGTGGGGAGGACCACTGCTCTATTTACGTGTGGCTTTGTAGTAATTTCAGCTCCCTACATCTGAAGACATGGTTTCGGAGTCTACCAAAGGCATAAGATGCACATCTGATCTGATGCTGACTCTCTTCATCAATGTCCGAGGTGGTGGACAGGTGGGAGTCGAGATACCGAAAATGGGTAACATTAGAGAGGGTAGTACCGTTAAGCTGGATGGGTGGTGGAGGTGTGGCTGTACCAGAGGCAGGCTGAAAGAGAATCTGAGTCTTATGTACATTCACCTCAAGGCCGAAATGTGCATATGCATCTGCGTAGGTGTTCAGGATCTCCTGTAGGTCGCGTTCAGTGTTAGCGACAAGGGTGAGGTTGTCTGCATACTGAAGTTCAGCTATGGAAGCTGCCGACACCTTTGTTCTTGCCTGGAGTCGTCTTATGTTGGAAAGGCCCTTCATCCGGTACCGGGTGTCCACCACACCGGCTAAATTAGCGCTGGCACGACTAAGGAAGGCAGCCAAGGACACACCCTTGTTTAACCCCCGTTGGATGGGGAAGGATTCAGATTGGGTGACATTGTGCAGGACACTAGTTCAAGCCAACGTGGAGTTGCCTCACAATGGAGCATAATTTAAGTAGTTCGGTTAGGTTAGGTTAGGTTAGGTTAGGATCCACCAGAGGGCTTCCCTGCTGACGGAGTCGAAGGCCTTCGATAGGTAGATAAATGCCATGTACAGGTCACGGCGCTCTTCTCTGCACTTTTCCTGTATCTGACGGGCAGCAAAGATCATGTTACGTAGTGTGACACATAATGATCTAAAGACACATTGAGATTCTGGGAGGAAGTTTTCTGCTTCAGGAAGAAATCTGTTCAGAAGGACTCGGGCAGAATCTTGACAGCTACGGACAGCAGCGAGATCCCGCGGTAGTTGTCACAGTCTGACAGGTCTCCCTTGTTCTTATTAAGAAAATGAGGGATTTCCTCCTTTTCCCATACAGGTATATTCTCCAGGAGAGAGTGGAGACGGCTAGTAAGCAGAGGTTCACTTGCTTTATACACCTCGGCTGGGATTCCATCAGGCCTTGAGGGTTTGTTGTTTTTCAACTGTTTGATGGCAGTAGTTACCGTAACCACGGATGGAAGATAGCTGAGGTGGGTCAGCTCTGGATGCTGAGGGACCTGCTGGGTAGTCAGGACATCCACATCGGTGTTTCGGTTGAGCAGTGAATGGTAGTGCTCTTTAGATCGACTTTAGTTATGGAATTACCATCGGATGAGCGGAAGGGGGCTGCACCATGAGTGATTGGCCTATAAAATGTTTTGGTGGAATTGAAAAATTCGTATATCTTGTGCTGATCTGCATTTTTTTGTGTTTCACATGCTTTATTTTTAAGCCAGTCTTTCCTTGGATTGTAAAGTTCCTGTTGGGCCACAGCTTTCTTCTTGCGGAAGGTATCAGCTTTGGTCCTAGACTGAGGGCTCTTCTACCAGTCAGATAAAACAGCAAGTTTATCATTGATGAGTACATTGATTGCCGGGTCATTCTCATCAAACCAGTCCTGGTGTATTCTTTCGATCTGGTCGAGGGTCTCTCTGCAGGTTTTTGTCATGACAGTGTTAAGAATATCACATTCGGCACTGAGATTTGGGTTCCTCGTTTTCGGGTTGTTTATCAGCCCATGTTCGAGCTGCTCTCTAAAAGCATGTGCTACCGCTGGATCCTCCAGACGCTTAGTGTTAAAACCTCTTCTAGAGGCTTGCTGCCTTCGCCGTTTTTGGGGGACGTCAAGTGAGAACTTGACTCTGACGAGCCGGGGATCAGTGTCGCAGTGGTCTGAGCCATGCATGGCTCGGGTGATGAGGACATCTTGGCGTTCTCTTTTTCTCTGACAATCATGTAGTTAATGAGATGCCAATGTTTGGATCGTGGGTGTTGTCACGAACCGTTGAACTTGTCGGCCTACCAAAATAAGGTATTGGTGATAGTGAGGTTGTGTGCGGCACACTTGCTGAGGAGGAGTAGGCCGTTGGGATTACACTTGCCTAGTCCATTTCTCCCTATTATGGTTCCTTCCCAAATGACAGCATCTCTGCCAACACTGGTATTGAAGTCACCAAGGAGCGCAACCTTATCTTCTCTGGGGCTAGATGTTAGCATTCTGCCAAGGTCGGAGTAAAAGGCCTCCTTGATGTCATCCTCTGTATCCAGGGTTGGGGAGTATGCACTGATGAATAAGGCATGTCGTGAGTGATTCAGTGGGACTCGGAGCGCCATGAGGCGCTCGTTGATCCCAATAGGCATTTCAGTTAGCCTGTGTAGAATGCGTTGATGGATGGCAAAGCCAACTCCATAAATGCGGTTTCTCTCCGCAGAAGGCTTACCCTTCAAGAAGGTATAGCCAGACCTTCGTTCTGTGAGTTGACCCTCGTCTGGGAGACGGGACTCACTAATGGCTGCTATGTCGATGTTATACCTAGCCAGCTCTTTTGCCACAAGGGCAGTTCTTCTTTCAGGACGCTCATTTGCGCCAGTATCCAGAAGGGTCCTGACATTTCATGCAGCGATCATAATAGGTTTTACAGTTTGTTTTTGTCTGGATCTGTGATTTGATTGCGTTTTCAACCGCATAAGGATGACCATACTGGGTGCGGTTGCCGAGTCAAGTTTGTTTTATAGGCAGGTTATGTCCATGGCACCTTTTCTACCCCTCTCTCCATGTGCTCAGTCGCACAGGCAGGACCCATAGCATAAACGACCATCTTATCTGTGCCGCCCATGTGCAGAGTTGTGACTAGAGGCTCCTGGTAATCATCTCTGCCTGTCACCGTCGCCACTCGTCCGTCGCCATAGAACTTTTGGGGGTATAGGCTGCAACCACACATCTTGGCTCCCCCTTTTCCTAATCCAGTGGTGCAAGTGTTGCAACGACTGGGGAGAGGGAGAGTTGCAATGGACTGCCGATAGCCCAGTTTATTGGGTTTTGCCTTCGAAGCCTGTCCATCATGCATTGCCTTCGTCCGCCGATGTAGTCGTTGTGTTCCCATGGTCGTCACCTCTTCCGTCTATACCGCCGTTGGGGTGTTGTTGGAGGTCTGTAAGCATGTCTGCCTGATGCGGGGCTCCACCGCAGATTTTTCGTTCGTGGTTTACTCCCAAAGCCTTATACCTACCAAGGTTAATCCGCAAGGCAGCTGGGCGATGGTTGGTAGGCGCAAGAACGTGTCCACGTGCCAGTGGGCCTATGCGCCGTCCCTCTGGGGCCCACTGCTACTCCGGGATCCCCTACTGGTCTAGCATGGGCCCACGAGGCACCCAGTTACCTACCGTGTGTTGCCATGAGAAGGCACAGCAGGAGTCTTGATGGTGAAGAGGCTGTGTAATGGCAGGGTAAGACTTATGCAAGTTACTTCCCTGTTCGCCATGAGGGCTAGCCAGCAGTGGTCGCTGAAAGCACACCACCCTGTGTGCGAACACACACACACACACACACACACACACACATATATACACATAATTAAGAACGTGATAAAGATGAAACGTGAAGAGAAAAAATTATGGTTGTAATGATAAAAATATTTTCTGAGTGGCCGCTAAGTGAACGCAAGAGTCTGACTCCACATTCTCGAGTTTTAAGTCAAACTCGAAACTTTTTAAGTACTCATGTTTTATTTCGGGTTGTTAAGTACCACTGTATCCTCTCCCTTTCTCCACTTCATCCACTCTCTCTCTGTTTGTGTATGTGTAAATGACTCGCTGCACACACACACACTGCCCCTCCCCCTACAACATTATAAAAAAAAAAATATATCATAAAATATTCAGCTATAAATGAGATGTACTGTATTATATATCTTACTTCAGGCCTCAGGTATATAAAGTGTACCTGTCTAGATGTACCTCAGTGAAGGATGTCTTGATACAAATCGGAAAAAAATATACCAGGTTGTTTGATTAAAGTTTTTTCTACTAAC